ATAGTTTTTGAGCTGTAGACTAGACCAATATCATCCACATAACTCAGAGATCGCACTATTCTCATATTTCTATTTTTGAATAGATATGCAGTGTATATTGCAAATAAAATGGGTGAGATTGGAGACCCCTGTGGTACTCCTATTTTTATCTCAGTCTTGTCTTGTTTCATTTCATCAAAGAAGAGTTGTATAATTCTTTTAGACATAAAACAGTTAACCCATTTTATTAGGGAAAGTGGCAGTTTTAATATCTTCAATGTCTGAATTAACTTTGACTTTGAAACATGATCAAACGCTCCTTTTATATCAATAAAAACTGCAGTTGAGACCAGACCCTCATGCTTTGCTATTTGAATATCATGAACAACTGAGAGAACAGTGTCAATTGCAGAACACTGTTTTCTACCTCCCATTTGTTCACTGAATAAAAGAGAATCATCTATAGAGCTTATAAAAGATAGTCGAGTAGCTATTATCTTTTCTAAAACCTTTCCTAAACAGTTCAATAGAGATATTACTCTATATGACTTAGGACTTGAAGTTTTTCTATTAGGTTTTGCAAGAATCACTCCAGTGGCTTCTCTCCAGCATTCAGGATGATATCCATTTTTCAAGAGATTGAAAAAGAGCTCAAAATATTCATTCTTTAAGTAGGAATATGTATTTTGAATAATCAAGTGATTAATTGAATCTGGACCTGCAGCAGTTTTAACAGAACTTGAGAAGATAGCTGACTCTAATTCATCTTGTGTAAGATCAGGCCATTCCCAGTCATTTTCATCAACATAGTTGAGAAGTGATATATTCTCTTCCTCTTCCTCTGAATCTGAATCTGGTGAGTTCTGAAAGAGAATTCTCATGAAAGCTTGACATTTTTCCTCAAAAGAGTTTGCTGTATATGATTCATTCTGAAACTCATATTCTAGAGCTGGAAGTTTTGCTACACTTCTTGTTTTAGTATAGTTAAAAGCTTTAAAAACTTCCTTCCCTTGTGCTTCTTCAAGAAATTTATTCCAGCAGTCTGTTTTAGCTCTTTTAATATCTGAAAAATATTCATTTCTGACAGTTTTGAACTCTTCATCAGATATTACATCATTCTTCCAATCTCTTCTAGCAGTAGCTAATTCTTTTCTTTTAGATGAGATATTCTCATTCCACCAAGGTTTTGAATACTCAGAAGATTTTCTTTTTGGAATATTATCTCTAACACTTGTTAGAATGATAGATGTAATAAGCTTCACTCTACTCTCAAGCATTTCATTTGAGATATCTTGACCAGAATTCCAATATAGCTCATTCTGTCTTTCAGATTTTAACAGTTTTATGCTTTCTTCAACTGCTTTTCAATCAGCTTTTTCAAAGTTATACTGATTAGAGAGAAGAGGATTTTCACTCATTTGTTTTTCACTCAGTTCAATATCAAATTGAATAATCTCATGACCTGATCCTGATGTCTCATTTGAATCAATAAACCAGTTTACAAGTCTTCTTTCCATTAGATTTTGTGACATGAATGTTAGATCTATAATAGACTTCTGTTTCATGCCTTTTCTAAAGAATGTTTGTTGATCAGACTTATTAACCAAATCTATTGAATGCTCAAAGGTCCATTCAACCAGATTATCAGCTCTCACTGCTCTCTTGCATTCTGAATTCCACCAGGGATGATGTGCATTGAAATCTCCTGCAATTATAGAGTTTCTTGATGGAGTTATGTTCAGAAATCCTCTATCAATTGTCCAGATATTGTTATTTTCCTTCAATGACTTTTCATTATAGATATTTATGAGCTGTATAGTATCAAACTCATTTTCTTTATCTATAATATCACCCACCAGAATATCAGGGTCAGACATGATATCAAATCTTAGATTAAATTGATATCTTGATCTCTTTCTTCCATAGATCACTACTCTTGACTTTATCTCAGACTTTTGAGGTAGAAAGCAGTAGTAGCTTGAATGAGAAATGACATATTTTTACTCAGCATCAAAATTCGGCTCCTGAAGCAGTACAAAATCAACTTTTTGTTCAAATGCAATTTGAAGACAAGAATAAATGCAATTTGAGTTTCTATCCACATTATTTTGAATAAATGTGATTTTTGAAGAGTTTTTAAACTTTTTTTGTTGTTTTTGTTGTATATTCATACTAAAAGAGAGTAGAGAAGAATCTAATCACTATCATCAGATAGTAGATTATAACTGTTCTGAAAAGTAGGAATCTCAACTGCTTGCATTATATCTAGTTTATCACCAGAGTCATTTCTCAATTCTCTAATCTTAACAGGAGTTTGAGGATTCAAATTCTGTTTACATTTTGCTGGAGAATTGGAGTTTGAAGACTTAGATAATTGAGAGTTTCTTCTTTTTGAGCTTGCAGTTGTGAGTTTACTGGCTTGACTCTTCTCTTCAGTTCTAGATTGACTTTGAGCTTCATCTTTTCTCCAGTTCTTTTGAGTTCTAGGAGCAAACATACATTCTTTAGAGCTAGATGCATGTTTTTCTTTGCAATTAGAGCACTTAAGCAGAGTATGTTGACAAATTTCACCTCTTTTTGAGCATGTTTCACATTTATGCTCACTAGTTTTGTGATCTCTGGCACAGAATGCACATTTTGAGTCTCTAAAACATGAGATTGCAAAGTGTCCATATCTTTGACAGTTTGAACACTGTGTTTGAGCTTTGAGATTCATTCTTGAGTCTTTGTATTCATGAACTCTCATTTTCAAACCTGCTACTCTTACTTCAGAGATCTTTGACTGTTCAAGTGTTTTTGTATATACTAGAACAGAGGCATTTCTCCTGCTTTGTCTGAACTCAATTGAATTTAGTCATACAGGCTCCTTTCTCAGTTGAATGGAGTTGTATTCTTTCAATTCATTTTTGAGAAGTAGCATTCCTTCTTCACAGTCAAAAATTTCAACTGGAATATCATGAAGAATGAATTTGTCCCACTTTTCATCTCTTTCAGATAGAATTGTTGTGTTTAGCAATGATTCTACTGCTGACTTCCAGAGATTCTCATTCTGAATAAGGAATTCAGCACTGAATTCAGGCATTGTAGTCAGAATAATAGAGTTTCCAAAGAATGATGGCTCAATTGAAGCTATAACTGGTTTTTGAACTTCAATATCAGTCATCAACTGAGAAAAGAACTGCTGATTAATTTCATTTCTGATTCTGAAAATGAGATTTGAGTTTAGCTTGTTTCTTTGCAGAATGTCCTGGTTTGAGACTTTGAGAATGAGTCTTCTATTTCTAGAGATTTGGAAGTTTTTCTCTTTTTGCATTTTCTTTTCCACTTTTCTATGAATAGAGGCATGAGCAGTATTCTTCTCAGTTTTCTCAGGATTTTGAGCAGGTTTTGAGACAGCAGGTTTAGAGACAGCAGATTCAGCTGCTTGAGCATATGTTTTCTTCTGATTCAAAGAAGAAGAAGGAGTAGGAAGAAAGGAAGAAGAAGAGTGAGATGAAGAGTCAGTGATTGTACTAGGAATTTTCAAGGTTTTTTGAACTGTGTTTGAGATTCCAAGTTTGAACTTGATCACCTCCTGTAGTTGTCTGGCCTGAGCATGAAGAATTAACAGAACTTCTTCATTCATCTCACTCAGACACTGCTTTCCAAGAATCTTGCTTGCTTTTTCAAGTTCCTGTATTTCAAGAACTTGTTGTTTCTCTATTTCTTCTTTCTTTCTTCTCTTCAGAATTTCAATCTCAGGAATAGCATTTGAGAAAGCATCTTTTTCCACATCAACTGAGCGTATTTTTGAACTCATTGTTTTCACTCAATGAAAAGTTGGTCAGACTGTTTCAATTGAGATATTTCTAAGTCTGTTTTCAATTGAAAAGTTGGTCAGACTGTTTCAAAAGAAGAATAAAAGACTTTTGTGTATAAAACACCTGATTTTTTTCACACTAGTTCAGTAACTAGGTTAGATTTTTGAAGAGAATCTAATAAACTAAAATTGATTTTTAAGATAAATCAATAAAATCTTTACAATCTCTTTCTTGGAATACAGTGAGGAAAAGTATGATATCAATTGATAATAAATCAGATGATATGACAGTTTTTGAGAGAAAAACTGACAAAAAATAAATCAATTTTTTGCAGAGAAATTGATTAAAACTATTCAATTTTATTCTAAATCATCCAATTCTCCTCACACAACAAGTGTGCAACTCAAATCAGTTAATAAAGAGTGTAAAAAAGAATTAAGTATTAATGAAAGCTCTTCAGCCACTGAAATAGTAATTCTTACTTAAAAGAATATGAAATTATGACAGAAAACAACTCTGTTTTTAATTCTTTGTAAGAATATTGTGTAAAACCCAGAGAAAAACACCTTACTTTTTCAAGAGAAGTAAAAAACTATTTCTAAGATCTTTTTTTTTTGCATTAACTGCTGCAGAAGAATGAGATAGAAACTGCTAAGATATGCACTACTGTATACCCCCTACCAAGACTTTCCCTCTTCAGGGTCTTGATATTATAGAGAATATAAGTCTGTTTCTATATGATAATATAAATATTGCCAGCGGGATGTAGAGGAACTGGTTATTTATATCTCAAAATAGAAGACTTTGTCAATGATTATATCAATATAGAGTTAATTCTCAAATTCAATAGAAACCTAGTGTTGCTGTTCTCAATCCCTTGCAGAATCTATTGAATATTGAGGTATTAAAACTAGATTTAATATATCTCACTGTGCAGGGATCAAAGGCTCAGTCAGACCTTGGGGTATACTGATTTTATAGTTGTTGATGTGCTGTTGACTCGTTGTCCACTGGTTATGTATTGAATACTGTTGCCGAGGTATCTTTTTGTATCGTTCTGCTGGGGATGGGCCAGATTGAGAGGGGTAGTACAGGGGTGAGACTTGGTGTTGAAGTCTAGATACACTGGCGGCGGACCGTGGAGGTTGCACTTCAGAAGAGTCCGTTGATTATGTGCTTGATATTATCGCCGAGGTATCTTTTTGTATTTTTCTGCCGGGGATGGGCCAGATTGGGAAGGGCGGTACGAGGGTGAGACTTGGCGTTGGTGTTTTGGAACATCAAAGATGGACAGGGTTTTCGCGGAGGTCGCTCCTCGGATATCTCCACAACTACAGGTCGGGGGTCTTCCAAAATCGAGAAGATTGGTGCATATGGCTAGGTCACTTCACCTTACAATTTGTATGGCACTCTGGCCCGGGGTTGTGGTGTGGTAGGGGAGAACGGGGGATAATCCCACACAGGAGCTTCGAACAACGTCCGGTTCACGTTTGGCTGGATAACTCCACCACCACACGGGGTATGCGGTCGGCGATGGGGTCAAAATGCTCGTATGATCGAGGGCTTTTCGATGGATCTATCGGCGGGTTCTTATTCGAAAAATCGAGCGAGTTCGTGGTGGAGCGGTTTGATGAGTCGGTGAGTTTTGATTAATTATATTCAGTTGTGTGAATATAATAGCTTCTGTGAGACAGTTAATTACATTCTCAATCAGAGACAGAGAATAGCAGCTCTTTATTATCTTGAAGTTTAAATTACAGTAATCTATATATAATCTGAGATCTTCATTCTTCTTCTTCACAAATATCACAGAGACTCTCATGAAGGCCTGTGAAGATCAGATAAAGTCATTCTTCAGATTCTTCTTCATATAGATCTACAAGATCTCTGTCTCATAATGAGAGAGCTTATAGATTAATTCTCAGAAGAATTTCTACTCTTCTATCAAATCTATTATCAGATTCTTCTTACAGTGAGAAGAAAGCTCAGCTGCCTTTACTGAGCTGAACATCTCTGTGAGATCTCAGTATTTCTCTGATATCTGAAGCTTGGTTTTCATGACTGCAAGGTTCTCAGACACTTACAAAGTTATTATATAGATGAGCTTGTTCTCTCTAATTAACTCTGCAGTATCAACTGATTCTATCTTCATAAGTGAGTCTGTTAACACTGATTGAAAGTATAAACCTGACTTATAGACAGCTATGTGTGAATTATGTCTTTGAAGTCATGCAAGTTTCAAGTATATAATATCTGTAATATCTGCAATAATCACAGTTTCTATAAATCTTCTTCAGATTTCAGAGAGATCTTATAATTCAAAGATAACTCTTGTAAGTCTCTCAGTTCTCAGATCTGAGTTCTCATATCCTGCTTATTGCAAGAGCAGATTCTCAGTCTTCATCTTTCAGCTCATTTACTCTGTAAGCTTTAGAGATATTACAGTGATCTGAGATTCTGAGTTTATCAATACTTCTCATACTTGCAGAGCAGTGATACTGCAGTGTGATCTCTTCTCATAAGTAAGCATTTTCATCAGAGAAGTAACAGATTCAGATATCAGCTTCAAGACTCTTAAGAAGGCTGTTACTGACTCTGTTCATAACTTCTCAAATTTCTATTTTAATTTATTCAGACAGTTTGCACAGAGATATTCTGATTTAGAATAGATGAAGCAGAGTCTCTTTTTCTTAATCTCTCTGTTATATACTCTGTTTATAGAAGCTTATAAAGCTCTCTCTCTCTACTCAGCAGTTAGATATGAATCTCTCTATATCTTATTATCTTTTTCTAGTAAATCTGTTCTCTGTTATTCTGACTCTTGTAAAATCAGTCAGTGATCTGCTCTCTACAGGTCTGTGACTCTTACAGTGATCTGCAAGCAGTGAATGAGAGTCATCAGTTTCTTCAGAGTTAAGAACTTAGAGTCTTACTTAATGAGCTTATTCTGCATGTCTTTATTCAGTCTCTTTATAAATATCATCATTCAGATCTTGTTTCAGAGCCCTGTTTTCACAGATCTTAATTCATATCATAATTTCATGAAGTACTGTGAGTAGTCTTTATCAGATTTCTTATCTCTTTTTCTAATATTGATAATTACAGTTCAGATATTCTCTATCTGATTTACAGAGTTCTTCAACTTATTCTCTAGATAGATCTTAAGAATAGATTAGTGAGATCTCTTATAATCATTCTTTAGATAATTCAGTCAGTTTTTAACTTCAGTGTAATAGAGATCTATCATTATATAGATGACAGCTTCTTCATCTTTCATGTTACATAGTCAGGCTTGTAAGTCAATTTCAAATGCAAACTCACAAAAGCTTTTATAGATTGTGATTTGATAAGTGATCTTAAGTGATTACAGCTTAAGAAAGTTTCTTTTCAGTTTATAAGTGTCTCTGAAGATTATGTCTAGAGACTCAGTTCAAGAGTGTTTACAGATAGTAAGCATTTCTTATAGAAAAATAGCTTGATTCTGTAAGAGATGCTCAAGAATGTTCTTCACTGAGATTGATTTGTTCATGAGTTCAGAGAGTTTCTCTGTCACAGATGCAGAGAATGATATTCTGTGAGTAATTGATAAGTTCTCTGAGACTTCTTTCACAGAGATTATTCATGATTCAGATGACTACTTCTGAGTATCTGCAGTAGAGTTTACAGAGATTGAAGTATATAAGTTTCTAGTTCTTTCAGTTATAATAGATAGTTGCTGACTGACTGAGCTTGAAATGTAAGAATAAGTACTCACAGATGATTATTCAGATGTTTGCAGCTTGACATGATATGTACTGTTAACTACTAGAAGTATTCATGATAGAAAGATAAAATGTAGAGATCAAATGTATAATAGCATTCAAGCTAAGTTATGAATAGTATTCATGAACTTCAGTCTATATAGTTGTGTGTAGTCAAGGGCCGCTAGCTCTATTGATTACATGAGAGATAGAAATAGAGGTAAAGAATCCGCGAGAAGCGGGATTTCTTACACAGAATACTGACAGATCTGTATAGATAAACTGTCAGTCTCATGAACTACATTTAATATATAATGAGAAAAGTTTAAATTTCTGATAATATTATTCAGTCTGATAAATGTGCCTGTCATCTTTTAAATAATAATAAATATAATTCTTTATAAATAGAATGAAATCTCATGTCTTATATATCTTAATAATATTTTAGTCTTTTCAAACTTATATAATGAATATCTGAAGTATCTCAATAAAGTACTTATAACTCTGACAGAGTATAAGCTCTATATTAAATCAACAAAGTGTCTGTTTGAAATAGAAGAGTTGAAGTTCATAGAATATATAGTAAGTAATAACTGTATACATCTTATCTCAGAGAAATTAAATATTATAGTGAATTAACTGCAGTTAAGAAATATACATTATATATAATAGTTTCTTAAGTTAATCTTATATTATCACAGATTTATTAAGAATTTCACATGAATATCTGCATCACTCTTAGATCTCTTAAGAGAAATAGATGCAAATCTGTGAAAGAAGAAGTTTCATTCAATTATCTAAAATACTGTGTATGAAGAGACTTTTCTCACACTGAGAGAACATATAATAATATCTTCAGTACTTATTCAATCAGATTATAATAAATCTTTCTATATTAAGACAGATGCATCTGAATGAGCTATCAGAGACACTCTTTTATAGATGAGTAAGAATAACAAGTTACACTCAGTGATATATAATAATAGAAAACTATCAGACACTGAGCTCAATTACTCAGTGTATGAAAAGAAATTGCTAGCAATTAAGCACACACTGATATTATGAGATAGATATATCAATAACAGATATATAATAACAGTGATCACAGATTATAAAAGTCTTATCTATCTATTATTATTATTATTATTATTATTCTTCCATTATACTCATATGCAAGCGGAGCTTATGATGAGTCCTTGCGTGATGTTAAATACAGGCCAAGTGTTGGTTATACAGGAGGAAATACAGGTGTTGAGACCACGCCAAGATAACAAGAACATAGGAAATACAAAGGAGTGACAATTAGATACATGCGATAATAACTTCCCAGCCCAGGAACATAGAGCGATTTATTGAAGCGATTTGTACACCTCTGTATTTATTAGAAACCTGAGGTGCTTGAGTTCCGGATTTAATGTATCCCCTGCGGGTTTCGAACCCACACGCCTTGGTTTCCCACGCCAAGGCGCTACCGGGTGGCCGCATTAATCATTCGGCCACCGGGGCCTTATCTATCTATAATTAATAATAAAATCTTTTAAATACTTAGCATGTTGAATCTCAGAGTTTTAAGCATATGATCTTCATATTAAATACTGAAAGAGATCAGATACTGTGATATCTGATATAATCAGTCACAGATCTGATTTTATAAGTGTGAGTTCTACAAATCAGACATAAGAAAAGTTCATATTAAATATACTAAGAGAGTGTAAGAAATCAGAATGAGTAAATATTATAATCTCTCACTTAAAGAATAGCAAGATATCAGATAATAAGCATCTTATAAAAGTAGTAAAAGAGATGCTTCTGAACTTTAAACTGAGAAAATTGAAAAATAATATTATGCTTTATTATAATCTAAAATATATGAAAGCTCTCTATCTAAAACATTTATTTAGACACAACTTAATGACTCACATGCATAAGGAATTCAGTTACTTAGAAAGCTCTGAACTTATAAGTGTACTTAAATCAAGAGTATACTGGTCAAGCATAGACTGACCGGCAGGACCATGAATTTCACATTTAGTCTCATTTAGTCTGATCTCATACATTTCTTGGCGTGAGTCTCATCAGGACCAAGCCTCAAAAAAATCTGAAAATGAATCATTTCTGAGAGAAATGGCATGAAAAATGACCAGATTTAATTCAAGAACAGTGAAATGAAAGTAAGTTCTCAGAATAAACTGTGAAAGATGATCATTCTTTCAAAATCAGAATGAGACTGAGACTAGACTGGCCGCCGGGACCATGAATTTCACGTTTGGTCCCATTTGATCTGGTCTCATACATTTCTTGGCGTGAATCCCGCTGGGACTGGCTATCAAAAAAGCATGCAAAGTGACTATATATCAGATTTTAAAATGGGACCATGACTTGAAAAAAATGAGAAAGTGATCCTATTTGATCCCATTTAGTCTCATTCTTGGCATAAAGTTACTATTTTTAGACATTTTAAGGTTTTTTTTAGACTATTTTTAATTTTTTAAAAAGTAACGCTTTTTGGTAACACTCAAATGAGATTTAAAGTCATTTAAAGCAATAAAAATAATTTAAATTGAGAAGTGGAAATCATGGTCTCATTTGGAAAATGTGACAAGAGTAGACAGTAAGTCCCACTGGAACAGTATGAGACTACTATCTAATGTTAAAACTGTGTAATGAGATCAGTCAAATTGGTAATGAGACTATCAAAAAATCTGGTCCTGGTCTCAGACACGGTCACACAGTCAGTCTAACTGAGACTGAAGATTAAAATCAGTCTCATTCAGTTCATTCAGTGATTGCTTATATAATCAGAATTTGATAATGATTATTAGTAATACTCATGAAACAACTAAATATATTCTTGTACAAGTTTATTCTCTACTTTCTCATGAAAACTACACTTCTCTGATATACTGTGATCAGAGGTATTAAACTGTCTGATAATTCTATGTTTTATAATCATGAGTTTCTTGATTATTTCTTCTTATAATTGTCTCTGATGATAGTGATAAATATCTTAACTTGAGTTGAACTTTCACTTCATTCTCATTTCTGTCAATGAAATTATTAGAATATTATACACTATCAGTACAATAGTTGAATATATACTCTCAATAATTTTTCATAACTCTAGAATTAATTTGATGTATAAATTTGTCAGATCATCTTGAAGATAGTAGTCAAATTCAGTTTTACAAGCATGTAGTTTTGCCTGATTTTCAGTTGCAATCAATGTATGCAAGTTCTGTTTCAAAGTTAGTATTATAGTTCTATGAAATATAAAGTGTTATCAAAGATCATTATTTACTAGAGAATTGTATTTCACTGTCTTCACATCTTGAATATCTGCTTATTCAAATCTCTGATAGTTAGCATTGTAGTAGTCTCAGATTAATTTAACATACAAGTCTTATTTCTTCTCTATTCAATCTTGAGAAGTGTAGATATTAACTTAATAGGAGAAATCTAGTAGAGCTGCTACAGCATAGTACTCT